AACAGTATCTCAGCCAGGTGTAGTGGTGCACACCTGCACTCAGGAGGCAGAGACAGGTGGATCTCTGTGAGTTTGAGGCCAGCCTGGTCTACAAAGAAAGGGTTATACAAAGAAACCCTGTCTCAAAAATCCAAACCAAAAAAAAACCCAGTATCTCTCACCCTGGCCTGAAACTGGCAAACCACCTGCCTCAGTTTTCAGTAATGAAAGGTCTCCTGGATTCTACATCTCCACTGCCATTCTCGGTCGGTGCTTTTCCCTTCAGCTCCAGGCCTGCCTGTCTTCCTGCCTCCCTCAGCTCTCCCTCACCTCAGCTCTTCCTCAGTCCAGTGACCACCAGGAGCCCCTCTTTGCTACTCACCCACCCCCTGATCCAGCAGGCCTGACTCCCTCTTTTGAAGGGCACCAAATTTCCCTCTTATTCGGTGCCTACTCTTCCATTGCCCTGCGGCCCTCATAACCTCCCCTTCCAGCACGGCAGGGCTCAGGCCACTGAGAGCAGAACTGTGTCACCACTACCCTGGCAGTGTAGGCACAGAGCTGATGTCTACACAGCTGCCCACGCCTACACGGGTGCCCTTCCTCAGCCTCCTTTGTTCTAACCACTTGCAGAAGGAACAGCTGCACACAAAGGGTCGTCCATTCCGTGGCATGTCTGAGGAGGAGGTCTTCACAGAGGTGGCCAATCTCTTCCGTGGTCAGGAGGACCTGCTGTCAGAGTTCGGACAGTTCCTGCCTGAGGCAAAGCGGTCCCTGGTGAGTGCCAAGTGCCCAGGATCCAGCCCTCAAGATGCACGGGGAGTTAGAATCTGACATCGTGTCTTACACTGTGACTGCAGTGCTGTGGGGGAGAGGAACAGTTCTTCATATGGAGATGGAGCCAGTGTGAGGACTGTGGTCCCAGAGGCAGAAGTAGGTGAGGAGGGCTTTGGCCCAGGACCAGACGCCCTTGGTTTTCTTCCGTAGCTGTGGCCTGAGGCCTGCCAAGGTGATCTCGCCTGCTGCTGCCTCTTTTTCTTATGCATGCTAGTCTTTTGAAAAGTAGAGATGAAATTCATGAACCATAAAATTCTCTTTAAAGTATATAATCTTGGGCTAGTTGTGATGGCATATGCTTTTAATCTCAGCACTCAGAGGCAAAGGCCTGAATTTGAGGTCACCCCACCGGATCCCCCAGCCTCTGATCTGCTTCCTGTCGGGATTTCCCTGCTCTGGACATTTGTCACTGGTCTGTGGCCTTGTGACAGTGTCATGTCTTTTGAGATTGGTCTGCATTTAGCCTTTGTTAGTGTTCCCTCCTGCTTGTTGATGGCTGAGTAATCATGTTCCTGAGGGTGGGCTTGTCCATTTCATCCGCTCTTGTTGTGGACATGGGTGGTTTGCCCTGAAGCTGTTGGGAGTAATGCCACCATGAACCGACTTGTACAAGTAATTGTTTGCATGAGTCATGGCAGCTCTGGCCCTGCCCCTCCATGGGCTTCCCAGATCACATGGCAGTTTCATTGAACTTCTGAAGAACTTAGAAAGTGTTTTCCACATCAGTGGCCTTGTGTCCCCATGTCCACTTTGTTTTTGAACTGTTGGACAACTGTCGGGTGGGTGTGTCTTGTCTATGAGTGTACCCCCACTGTATCATGTCTGTCCAGATGTGTTAATTCATTGCTCTTTATGTATGTGCATGTTTTGTCTGTGTGAGTTTATGTGCGTCATCACACAGATGCAGTGCCCATGGAGGCCAGAAGAGGGCATCAATCCCCTGGAACTGGAGTAACGGGTGGTTATGAGCTGCATGTGGGTGGTGGGACCTGAACCCAGGTCCTCTGTAAGAGCAGCCAGTGCTTGGCACTGTAACCACTGAGCCATCTGTCTGCAGTGCGGCTGAGTGAGTCCTTGTGCACCCACGAGCTTCCTAGATGTCTGATCTGCAGATTCGCACCTCTGTCTCCTGTCATCTTTTCTCTGCTTGGTCATGTTTTTAATGCACAAAGTCTTTTGATTAATTTTTTTTTTTTCACATCACTCTTAGTATTAAGCTTTAGAAGCTGTTGCACAGTTGAGGTCATGAGGTTCCCCCTATTTTCTTACAGTTTTAAACTGCGTTTTGTATGTGGGCGTGAGGTGGGTCCCGTTTCAGATCTTGTCCAGCACAGCTGTAGAAGGGCTGCCATGCTTGGCACCATGTTGTCAATGTCACCATGTACACGTGGGTGCTTGTGACAGCTGGGTTGCCATCTGTGGGTCTGTGTTCTCAGCCTGGCATTGCACTCCAGCCTTTGAAGGGGTTCAAGAGCAGGAAGCCCGCACCCTCCACCTCCTTCCTTGTCAGAACTGCTCCAGCTTTCGAGACCCCCGATTGTTGAGTATGGTTTCTCTGTTTTCTCTTTGAGACTGGGTCTTAGAGTAGTGCAGACTTGTCTTCATCACATGACCCTCCTGCCTAGGCTCCCTGAGTTCTGCAATCACTGTCATGGGCTACTTACTACTCCTGGGTCATTTTTTTTTTTAACCATTACGTATTTGTGTGTGTGCATGCCACAGCTGGTGTGGAAGTCAGAGGACAACTTGGAGGAGTAAGTCTCCCTTGCATCCTGTATGTCTCGGGATCACACTCAGGTCCAAGCAGTTACCCGCTGAGCCATGTTGACGTTGGCCTGTGTTTTGGTCTAGTCAGGTGTTTGCATCCTGGTGTTGCCCCGGTTTTCTTGGGCTTCCCTTACCCAGGCCTGTGGCCAGTGGCCACCGGGTTTGTCACCGTGTCTTGGACACAGAGTATCAGCCTAGGGCTGTGTCTTGATGATAGATCACTGCTACCTGGTATCTGGTTGCCCTCCAGGGCCTAGATGATGGCAGAGCCGTGGGAGCCGCTGTGCCTTCCAGCCTCAGGTAGAGCCATGCTGTGCATTGCCCTCGGCCTTGCTTCCTCCTCAGCTGTGACATGTGTTCACTCAGGTGAGACCATGAGCTGCTGACTCACGTGAGGTCATAAGTGCATTGCAGCTGCTGGAACAACTGTGAGGCATGTCCCTGTCGTCGCCTCACTGAACGTCCACATGTCCACACGTCCCCAGAGCCGCACGGACCTACAGAGGCTCTTGAATGTGCCTGGAGGGAGGCTGGGGCCCTTGCTCACCTCTGCTGTCTTGAGTCCTCGTCTGCCTGTCTCTGAAGTTTAGAAGTTCTTGAGAGGGTCCCCTTTGAAATCACAACTTGGGTTCTAATGTCACAGTGACAGGCACTGGGCAGAACCTAAGGAAGAAAAGGCTTCGTCTTGGGTCATGATGGTTCCCTAGGTCTCTGCTGCTGTCCTCCCTCCCTGGGTGCTGAGCCTGCTGTGAGGAGAGATCCGAGGGCAGGGGGATTGGTGGGGACTGGGGGGGACTGGTGGCAGAGGCTGCCCCACAGACACAGTGGACAGCGGACCTGATGGCCCCTCACCCTCCCTCTAGCCAGGACCCACTTCCTAACTTCTAGGACCTCCCAGAATAGCACACAAAGCCATCAGTACATGAGCCTTTGGGGGAACACTTCATCTGGATACCATGGTACCCCATTCCTATGAGGAGAATCCTGACTGCCTCTGGGAACCTTAATAGTATGCAGGAGAGGGGTATCACCTCCAGGGTCCTGATGGCATGGCCACAGATTATACATTAGGATGGATTTCCTGTCAACTGCTACTCAAGTTGGGACTGGTATTTAGGTCTTGTCCTTAGATCTGGGTGCTACATCTGAACAGCGTGGCGGTGGCTCAACACCCCTTGGAATTGGGAGCCTACATCATCCTCCACTGCCCTTCTCTGAGCTGCCCATGATGGCATGGAATTGATGGTGTCATCTGAAGCCCAGGGGAGTTCTGAGTTGAGGGTCTCATAGCCCCTCTAAGTCTTACTTCCTAGCTCCCTTGCTTTCTGCAATGGTGGACCTGGTGCCCTGAGGTCTTGCAGGCTGTCTGTGTAGCTCTGACCCCTTGGGCTGGTGGTGAGACAGGGGCTTAGTAGCCAGTTTAACCAGCCACTGGCCTTAGGCCCTGGTTCCATCCTAGCCCATAGGAAAACCAGAAACCGCAAACATGTCCGCTGGGCCAAGTTGGTGGTTTACTTAATCCTTGTACTCTGAAGGCACAGGTAGGTGGATATCTGTGAGTTCTAGGCCACCAAGGGTTTACATGGTAAGACACAAAATGGTAATTGTTAGGTCTCAGACCTAGGACAAATGGCTAACTGAGGTACCTATTTAACATATCAAAGCAGACACTGGCCACCAGTCTCTCTAAGCATGGCCAATACTACCAGTTACAGAGTCCTGGCTCTCCTCTGCACTTCTCACTCCACCCTTGACTCTAAACCTCTCCCTCCTAGGGACTCTGATCACTTTAAAACTCAAGACATTTTGCACATGCTGTCTCTTGGCTCCTGGCTGGCTCCACTCCTGGTTCTCTCTTGGTCTGTGCTGCACATATGCATGCATGTGTGTTTCACCAGATGAAATGGGAAAAAACAATGCGGACATGACCGCTTGCAAGTATGGTGGAGGAGGAAATTTATTGTAGACATGAGGGAGAGCATAGTCAGAGGCATCTGGAACGGTCCAGACTGAACATGGCTGTGGAGAGAGAGAGGGAGAGGACCTGGAAGCCCAGAGGCCAAGGGGACACTTGGAGTGAGAAGTGCTGAGAGGAGCCAGGACTCCGTAACAGGCATTGGCTATGTTGAGAGCTGAGGGCCAACACCTGCTCCTAAGTGATAAACAGGCACCTCAGAATGTATCCAGGGTTTCTTTGGGACTTAACAAGAATAACAATTATATAATAAAGAAACAGTTCCTGCTTGGGAGGCAGAGGTAGGTGCATCTCTGAGTTCGAGGCCCACCTGGTCTACAGAGTGAATTCCAGGACAGCCTGGGCTACACAGAAAAACCGTCTTGAAGAACAAAAGAAACCGCTCCGGAACCAGCAGTCACAACAAGAAGAGAGGCCAGCACTGTTCTCTGCTCTTCCTCCGCAGTCACTGCCGGGATTGAGGGGCCACAGTGTCCCTGCCTCCAACATAACTATGAGCGAGGAGAGCTGTCCTGGGCATCGAGGCAGGGGGACTCTGTTGGATTCGTATTGTGAGGTTACAGACCTCACAGTCTTCATTGTCGGCCAAGGATAAACTGTGGTGTCATCCTTACTAAATCTGAGTGCTGAGCACCAGCTGGGTCCAATCCCTGACACTGGCCACTTGGCCTCAGTGTAGAGAAGCAGCCCTGTTCTGGTAGCTTGAAAATAGGTGGCCTCATCTGACCACAGTAAAGTGAGTGGGTGTGGCTGTATGTCAATAAAACTTTATTTACAAAGTGGGCTCTTTACAGCGTGAATAGGTTCGGCTGTCATTCAAAACTTCACAGAAGGAATGGGATGGCTGCAAACCAATAAAACCTCCTTCACAGAATGAATGTCTGGCTGTTGGCCATAGGCCCTGTGAGTAGTAGGCCAGCAGCCCTGGTTTGGTGTCTGTCTAGGCAAAGAACATCACAGCTAGTGAGGGGTGTGTGGGCTGTGGGAGGACTAGCAGTGCTGAGGGCCCTGAAGCCAGGCTGGCAGCATCAGGTCACCCCTTCAGGGCCCGTGCCCCCACCTGCCTTTTCAAAATTGGGAGTTTGGATCTGTAAGGATTCCAATGAAGAATTCCCTGGGAATACCACTTTACTTGGGGTTCCTGGAACAGTTTTCAATCTTTGACTGCCTGAGCTATTTATTTTGAGACAGGGCCTGGCTATGTAGCTCACGCTGGTTCTAACTGGTGCTTCTCCTGCCTCACCCTCCTGAGGGCTAAGATGACAACCATGTGCCACAATGCCTGATTGTTAGATTTAGGGGGTGTGCCTTACCTGTGGCTGAAGGATAGTCCTTTATTGTAAAATCTCTCCCAGAGGTGATCCCTTAAATTGTCTCTTCAGCAATCCAGCACTTTTCCCGAATGAAGCAGTAACACACGACTTCCTGCTGGGTCTCCCCTTCGTTTTTCTCTTTGCTCTGTGTTGTGCATTCCTGTTACAGCAGCAGCACAGAGCAAAGGGGACATACCGCTTTGCTGCCCTCAGTTCTGTCTGGGGACGCCACGGCTTCACTTTGCCCACAATCTGGGCTAGTAGCACATCCTTTGTGGTGTCTGTCTGTCTAGGTCCCACGGTGGTATGGAATGGCGAGTAGCCGTGCTGACAATGATTCAGGGTGTTCGAGGGTCGGCCTCTCCTAGCTTCCAGGAGGAGTAGCATCCCCGTCTTGTCCGTTGGTTGAAACTTGCTCCAACCACCCTTCCCTGCAATACACCACAGAGTGAGGGGCGCTCCCTGGACATGTCCTGTCATTCGTGACAATTCAAAACCCGGCTCTAAGCCCCCACTGGTGACCTGGGTGACGTCAGCCACTTCCTCTCGCTGATGGGGCTGTGTGCTGCTGCCTACCCCTACCTAGAATGCTTTGTGTTTTCTGTAGCCACCATGGTCAGGTGTGCAATAGGGCCCTCTACCTGGACAGACTCAGTTGTCTTGCTCCTGGACCTCTGACGCCTTGCTCGAGAGGCCACAGGGAGCCTTCCTGCAGCTGTGTACCAACGTTCACCCAGACATCTGTGTGTCTGGTCTCCGTCTGCCCCAGAAAATAGAGGCTCCGGCCTGTGGCAGACGATGCCTGCCAGGGCTGCAGGCCAAACCAGACTTGACTGCATGTGCACAGATACATAGGTGGGCCATCTCTCTGCCTTCTCCAGTCTGACACCTCCCGTGTTGTGTCCTTAGTTCACAGGCAATGGGCCGTGTGAGATGAACAACGTCCAGAAGAACGAGGAGAAGAGTCTGGAGCACACTAAGAAGCGCTCCCGACCCTCTCTCCTGCGCCCTGTGTCTGCTCCAGCCAAGGTAACTGTCCTTGTTTGTGTGGGTCTTACTGCACATGACGGGAGTGGTCTGGAGGCAGACTGCGGTCTTGTAGAAAAGGACGCCCACTGGCCTGGCACCCGTTCACCTGCCCTCCTGACCTGAGGTGGCTGTGAGGAGGAAGGGGGAGCTGGAAGGAAGGTGTGGCGCGCTGTTCGTTCTCCTTTTCACTGTCGTGACTCTTTCGTAGGTGGGGCTGCAATTGAAATGTGCAGTTGTGTGGTTTGGTTACTGCACAACTGAGGAGTGAAGGTGGCCGACGGCAGTTCCTGGCCCGCTCATCACCCCGTGATGGTGGATCTCTAGTTCTGTCCCTCTGCGTGTTTACTAGTTGACTCTCTATAGTAATAAAGTTTTTTGGCATTTCTGTTGATTTAGTTATGTGCAGCGGTGTCACCCCCAAAGTCACGGTTCATTACTATCCTGGTATCTTGACACCCAGACTGTTGTGGCCTGGCCGGGGGAGGCTCCTCCAGGCTGCCCTTGGGTCTCTACCATGCCCGTCCTTTTCATCGTCACCCTCTGGGGAATGGCTGTACAGCAGGGCCTTCAGGCCATGGGTCTGGGTCAAATGCAGGTCCCATCTGGTTTGTTCATCGGTGGGGGGTGAGGGCGAAGAATAAGGATGTGGCGTGTCTCAGATCAGAAGACAACTTGAGGGCTCATTGGGGATCCTCGGGTTGTCAAATGGGTGACAGGCGGATTTCTTTACTTGGAAAGTTATAACCCCTGCCCCAAAGTCCAGTTTAGAGACAAGTATCTGCACACAGCCTCAGACCTGGCCTCCTCAGGGTGCCCCTGGTGTCCCCTCCCTGCCTTCGAGTCCCCCTCTGGCCCACAGGACAGGCTAGGTGCTGCTGGGGTGAGCTAGCTGGCACAGCGTGGTCTCAGGTCGTTGAGGTGAAGCCCCAGGGTACAGCACACACATTTTCTGAGCAGGCCTCGGGCCCGAGTCTCCCCAGTGCACATGGCGCAGATCGCAGGATCTGCCGCTTCGGTGTTTGCCCTCCCTTTCCCCAGTCTGTCAGTTGAGCCTGTGGCTTGGCGTCCATTGTCCCAGTTAGTGTCTTCTGAGCATGCGTGAATCTCTGCCTTCCATTTCCCAGTCCGTGTCTACTAAGCATGCGTGAGGCCCTGGCTTACATTTTCCCAGTCCATATCTACAAACGTGCTCGAGGCTGAAGATTCTATTTCCCAGCGTCATCTTGGAATGCAAGACGTTAGGAGCGCGCCCGTGTCTTTTGAGCATGCGCGAAGCCATTTTCCCAGTCTTCCAAGCTTGTACTAGGTCTTTGGTTCCATTTCCCAGTTTCTACAGAGCATACGCCATGCCATGGTTCCGTGTACCCTGTAAGCACGTGCCTGGCACGTGAGGCCTTGAGTTCTAGTTCCCTAGTACCTACGGCACATGCGCGAGGCCCTAGATTCCGTTCTCTGGCGGCTGTCAATCACGTGCAGGCCCCGTGCCTTCCCTGTCTCTTGTGGGGCTTGGACCATTACTGCACAAGCCCGTGGCCCAGATCTTGTTTTCCACAGCCTTCCAAGTGTGCTCGATGCCCGGTTTGATACCCAGGGTGGCAGAAAATAAGCCATAGCAGGATTTGAGACCCCAGATCTGACAGCGTGCTGCTGTGGGCTTGCTTTTCCTTGGGTCCTGAGTCGCCCGCGCCCCCCCCCCCCCCCCCTTCCCCGCCCCCGCCCCGTCACACAGAGCCAAGGCGGGAGCAGCACCCTGATGCTAGGCGCCCAGACCTCACCCCGGGGTCCTGAGGGCAGGGCCCTGCCAGCTGCATTCGGAGCTCCCCCGGGTTCCGCGTACCCCACAGTACCTGTGGTGGGGGACACACCATTAAGCCGAGGATTTCTCTCTGCAGAAGAAGATGAAGCTCCGAGGCACCAAAGACCTGTCCATTGCTGCCGTGGGGAAGTACGGCACGCTGCAGGAGTTCTCCTTTTTCGACAAGGTGAGCCAGGCCTGGTCCCTCCAGGCACAGCTTCCTGACGGGTCTGGAAGCAGGGCCACTGGGGTGCAGGGGAGGGGAGAGCATAGAGCAGAGCGCCGGGGCCACGCGCGGACACGTCAATGGCTTTTGCAATGCCCAGTGCGTACCGTTTTTGCGGTAGTCTCCGTATTCCCACAGGTACGTAGGGTGCTGAAGAGCCAGGAGGTGTACGAGAACTTTCTACGCTGCATTGCGCTCTTCAATCAGGAGCTAGTTTCCGGCTCAGAGCTGCTGCAGCTTGTCAGCCCATTCCTGGGGTGAGTGGCTCCCGGCTCCCTCCCACCCTGCACACACAGGCCCAGGGGAGCGAGCCCGGAAGTGTGTTTGTGCGTTGCCTGTCTTTTACATGTTGGCTTATTTCCTACGTGTGCACAGGTGGAGCGCAGAGGCAAGTTCTTGGGTGGGTTCTCTCCCACCACGGGGTCTCAGGAAGTAAACTCAGGTCGTCAGCCTTGGCGGCAGGCACCTTGACCCACTGAGCCCTCTCGTCCACCTGTGTGGTTTTCTTCATTGATGAAAGCTGTTCCCCAGTCATTGTTGATAGGCTCTCATTTGTACAAAAGCGACTTGGAGAAAGCAGGGCCCGTGACCTTGTGCACTGTGTATGGACAGTGTCTTTGTCTCAGATTATGACTCTTGACTTTATGACGATATGAGAGCTGTTACCATTGGGTAGACATTTTACCTGTGATTTACGAGTTGTAGATGTCGATATTTGGGGACTGGTGATGTGCAGTCCCTCTTCTTGCAGGATTCTGGGCAGTGGCGTCAAAGGCAGCTTCTTGGTGGCCTTTCTTGGGTGTGCCATCCTGGTACAGCCTGACTCTGTAGTATGTGAGCTGTGAGTTCATGTTTAATGATATTTTCTCTTTTGTGTGCTTTCCAAGTTTTTACATGTATGTATATTGTGTTTCACATATTCCCCAAGCTGCCTTCCTGCAGGTGGTGGTGAATCTGCTGACCTCCACATCACATGTGCCCTCCCTACAACAGTAAACTAAATACACGAAATACAAATGTAAAGGTTTTACATTTTTAAAAAATCAACAGAAATATAGGTAGCCCTGGATGTCAGTTGCTGTAAAATTGACCCATTTAACATGTATTCCTTTTCTGTCCTGACTTCTGAGAATGAAACCATGGGGTCCTTTTGGGGAGGGGTCCCTCATGAGGGAGGGAATCTTCGCCCAGGAAGACAGCCACAGTGGACACAGCTGCTCTCCGTTCTGCCCTGTAGATCAGCCATGGACAGAAGGAAGGAAGGAAGTGGGGCAGAACTATGTGCCAATAAAGCTTTATTTAGAAGCAGTCTATGGGCTGATTGGCTGCAGTCCCTGGCCTGGATCCAGGGCCGTTACTGACCCTAGGCTCCTGCCTTTGGAGTCTGGTTCCAGCCTGCTCAGGCTGGACCGGCCAGTAGAGTCAACCTAGAGAGCAGTGCAAGGGAGACAAAGCCCAGCCACCCCAGGACGCCAGCGTAGGATGGACGGGGAACTTTGTGATGCCTGCCCCCTAGTGAGGGACTGCATGGGCAGGAGTACTTTCCCAGGCCTGGGCACAGCCAGGGCCGGAAGGACCCATGTCAGGGCTTGGGGCAAGGCTGGCATCTGTCTGTGTGAGCAGCCTAAGTGAGTTCATTTCTAGTCTGTCCATTCCGGACTGTAGCTTGGGCAGAAGTTGGCTGTGACCTCTGCGGCTGATTGACTGGTCACAGGGCTCTTGGGACTCTTGAGTGTTTTTTTGTTTCTTCCTTCTGTTTTTTTGTTTGTTTGTGGGTTTTTTGTTTGTTTGTGTTTTGTTTTTTTTTGAGACAGGGTCTCTTTCATAGCTCTGGCTGTGCTGGAACTCACCATGTAGACCAGGCGGGCCTAAAGCTTACTGAGATCTATCCGCCTCTGCCTTCCAAGTGCTGGGATTAAAGACATGTCACTACACCCCACTTTGTTTCTTTCTTTTTAATTAATTAATTAATTAATTTTTATTTTATGTGCATTGGTGTTTTGCCTGTATGCATGTTTGTGTAAAGGTGTCGGATCCCCTGGAAATAGAGTTACAGAAGGTTGTGAGCTGCCATGTGGGTGCTGGGAATTGAACCTGGATCCTCTGGAAGAGCAGTCAGCGGTCTTAACTGCTGAGCCGTCTCTTCATCACCCTCTTTCTTTGTTTTTGAAGTTAGAGGACAGAAAATGAAGGCCGTGGGGCTCATGGTGGTTATTCCCGGTGTGTTGTAAGGGGGTATGGTTGGTGATAGGTGGGGAGGCCTCCCCTTCCCTAACATTGAATTCTGATTCAGGTCAACTTTGAAGTTCCACATGCACACGGCCATTTTCACAACTCTAGATTATTTTCAAGAGGCCCAGTGCCCACTTACAGTTTCTGTCTGTCTTTGAAGAAAATTTCCGGAACTCTTCGCACAGTTCAAGTCCTTCTTGGGAGTGAAGGAGCTGTCCTTCGCACCACCTATGAGTGACCGGTCTGGAGATGGCATAAGCAGAGAAATTGACTATGCATCTTGTAAACGAATTGGATCCAGCTACAGGGCACTTCCCAAGACCTACCAGCAGCCCAAGTGCAGCGGAAGGACCGCCATCTGCAAGGAGGTAGTGCCCTGGGGTCACAGGTCAGCCCCCCACAACAGACAGCCATGGGCCAGGGTTCCGACTGCCTGAGACATCTACTACTGAGGTGTCACCAGAGCCCAGCTCAGCCTCATGCCCTGTGGGATGGCCATGCTAAGAGTTCACACAAGTGTGGGGAATTGGCCAACTTCATCACTGCCGAGTTCTGCCCTGTCCCCGAGTGTCTTAGGGTTTCTGTTGCTGTGATGAAATCCCAGGACCAAAACGACTTGGGAGGAAGGGGTTTATTTCATAGTCTGTCACCCAAGGAAGTCAGGGCAAGAGCCTGGAGGCAGGAACTGAAGCAGAGGCCATGGATGAGTGCTGCGTATGGGCTTGCTCCTCATGGCTTGCTCAGCCTGCTTCCTTATACAGTCAGGACCACCCGCTCAGGGGTGGCGCTGCCCACAGGCCAGTCTGGGGGCTCATTTTCTTAATTGAAGTTCTCTCTTCCCAAATGAGTCAAGCTTATGTCAAGTTGACATAAAACTAGCCAGAACATTGTGTGTGTTCAGTGTGACCCTTGAACACCTTGTCAGGTTTGTGGAGTCCCACTGAAGTTTAGACAATTTATAGCCCAAGGATCTACTAAGTATTGCAAAGCAAATCTGGTCCACTGCTTGTCAGTAAAGCTTTGTTAGCACACAGACATGCCCTTCATGGACACCCTGCCTGTGGCTACTTTCTTGAGACAAAGGCCAAGTTGGGTATTCAAGACAGAGGACCCAGACCACAAAGATTAAAATCTTGGGGCTCAGGCCCATCATGTAATGTATGTTCAGCACCACAGCCCTGGCCTGCTGAGGAGCAGCTGGAGAGTTATTTCACTGAGTGGTGGGAAGTCACTGCTCACATCGTCTGTACTGGCGCACTTAGTGACACTCCTTTCCTTGGGTCCAGGTCCTGAATGACACATGGGTGTCCTTCCCGTCCTGGTCGGAAGACTCGACCTTTGTCAGCTCCAAGAAGACGCCGTATGAAGAGCAGCTGCATCGCTGTGAGGACGAGAGGTTTGAGGTAGGTGAGGCTGCACCCCTGCCTGCCTGTGCTCTGGCCACCCAGCCCGGTGTGTCTTCCTGGTGTAGCCCGGTCCTGCAGTCTCTCACCCCTGCCTGCCTGTGCTCTGGCCACCCAGCCCAGTGTCTTCCTGGTGTAGCCCGGTCCTGCAGTCTTTCACCCCTGCCTGCCTGTGCTCTGGCCACCCAGCCCGGTGTGTCTTCCTCGTGTAGCCCAGTCCTGCAGTCTCTCACCCCTGCCTGCCTGTGCTCTGGCCACCCAGTCCGGTGTCTTCCTGGTGTAGCCCAGTCCTGCAGTCTCTCACCCCTGCCTGCCTGTGCTCTGGCCACCCAGCCCGGGGTCTTCCTGGTGTAGCCCGGTCCTGCAGTCTCTCACCCCTGCCTGCCTGTGCTCTGGCCACCCAGCCCGGTGCCTTCCTGGTGTAGCCCGGTCCTGCAGTCTCTCACCCCTGCCTACCTATGCTCTGGCCACCCAGCCCGGGGTCTTCCTCGTGTAGCCCGGTCCTGCAGTCTTTCACCCCTGCCTGCCTGTGCTCTGGCCACCCAGTCTGGTATCTTCCTGGTATAGCCCGGTCCTGCACTCTCTCACCCCTGCCACTTGGAGCCGCCCCCAAAGCTCCCAGCTCTCAGCTCTGGCAGCCTCTGAGCTCCCAGCACATCACCACCACCTTTCTTCAGCTAAAGACAGTGCGAGGCTGGAGAGATGGCTCAGCGGTTAAGAGCACTGGCTGCTCCTCCAGAGGTCCTGAGTTCAATTCCCTGCAGCCACATGGTGGCTCACAGCCTCTATAGTAGGATCTAATACCCTCTTCTGGCCTGCAGATATCCATGCAGAGCATTCACACATAAAATATAAATCAATCATCAATCAACTAAAGACAGTGGGTTGGTTAACTTAAAACTAAGTTAGCTTTATTTTTATTGACGCTGTAATTGGGTGCTCAGACTCCTCAACCCTCGTAGGGACAGGCAGATAACCACTCTTCTTATCCCAAAGTCCACGTGTCTTCTTTTTGATTGGCTTTACTTTCTTTTTAAGATTTACTTATTGTTATTTTATGTATGTCGGTGCCTGCCTACATGTAGGTCTGTGCATCGTGTGTGCCTGGTGCCCACAGAGGCCAGAAGAGGGCATTGGATCCCCTGGAACTGGAGTTAAGGACAGTTATGAGCCACCATGTGGGTGCTGGGAATTAAACCCCAGTCCTCTGGAAGAACAGCCAGTGCTCTTAGCCACTGAGCCAGCTCTCCAGCCCTTGGTTTTCTTTTTGAAACCATCTCTCTTTGTAGTGTAGGCTGGTATACTACTTGTGATCCTCCTGCCTCAGCCTTCCAAGTGCTAGGATGACAGGGGCATGCTCTCCACCCCAGGCTCCTGTGTGTGTGGGGGGGGGCTGACTGGTGTGTGTGTGTGTGTGACTGACTGGTGTGTGTGTGTGACTGACTGGTGTGTGTGTGTGTGTGTGTGTGTG